AAGGAAGGGAAGGGAAGGGAAGGGAAGGGAAGGGAAGGGAAGGGAAGGGAAGGGAAGGGAAGGGAAGGGAAGATGATTTAGTGGGGTAGGCTCAAATTGAAGGGGGATTACTCCTCAGCAATATGGGACACATTACGGGATGCACTGTAAAAGCATGTGGGGATTGCTCAAGACTTATAATGGGATGTTTATGGAAGGGACCAAAGGTGGGGAAAGGGAAAGATCCAGGTGATTTGGAGAGGACTAAATGTGGCAAAACAGAGGAATAAAGGGATGTAAAGGACCAGTCACACGTGAACAGGTAGATGCTCAGTAAACTTGTCTGGCCACTGCCTGAGCTTGATAATTGCAGTGTCTCCTATCTTCTTATTAATTAAAATTCTACTGTGTGGTTTTCTTGTGTGTGTATGTGCGTGCACGCGCGCGTGTCCTTACTTGGAATATGTTGTGAGCCTGCTTACTGGTTGGCTCTAGACACATGGAACTATAGAAGAATTTCTACTGGGCTACCAGATTTGGTACCCCTTAACAGCAAGTGTTGCAGTTCTTCAAGGAATTTTAGCCACGTAGGTCACGTCCAGCTTGGCCTTCAAGCTAAGCCAGAGGGGAACTAGATCGCAGAGATAACTCCTCTACACAGCACTGTTTGTCTTCATGTCCCCCATCTGCATTTTTGTGGTCACTAGGGTCACTTGATCTGACGAGGACATCAGCGTGCTAGGAGGAGTCATCCTGGAAAGCGTGTCAGCTGGAACTTTCCTTTACCTCACCATTTTGGAGATCCTGCCTAAGAAGTGGTCTCAACAATTCCCCATTCTTTTTTAGCTGGGATCCTTTCTAGTTGCAGTCATCACAAGTTGGACCTGATGACTAAGGCACTGCATCTAGCTTGGGGGTGGAAGAAGAACATTTTCCTTCCAGGAGCTACCTAGTCCAGCCCCCAACCACAGGAAAGGACTTGTTAGTGGGTGGAGAACACCCTCCAGAGGATGTAGCATGAAGCATTTTCCTTTGGTCGTGTGCAGTGCCTATCAGAGAGAGGTTTCTGTAGCTTGGTGCTCAAGGTGTATTTCCACGTGCTGGGTGGGGAGCAAAGGGGTGGGGTGGGTGTACTCAGTCTCCTAGGATAGCGGTGGAGAAATGGTCCGGGGCAGCAAGTCAGACATCCTGAAGGTTCACCCTGCTTTGTTTTCTGGAGTTAAATGGGCAGAGAACTGAATGAACACTGCAGAAGGGAACTGCATTGGGACCCTGAAGGAGGATTAAGCCCTTGGAAAGCTGGAAAAATGAAAGAAATCATGAGAGGCCTCACCAGAGGACCTGACCCATCTCACCTGACTCCGGGTTGTAGAAGGCTACATAATTACACTCTGAACTGAGTCGCTTCATTTAAATGCATCTCTTTAGTTGGGACAAAACCAGATCTTGGCTAAAAAGAGCATGCTCAGAAGCCCATCTTTAAAGCTCATAAGAAATCAACGGCATCTGCTACTCATCTGTTTATTCATCCTTCCCATGGGTCTAATATTGGTGTTGAATCTGTGCAGCTCACTGGACTATTGAAGAGATGTTAGACAGAAATGGATCCCCTTGGCACGCACTGGTCCATGTAGTGTTCCTGTAGGAACAACTTTTCCACAATGGCATGAGATGAAGACTCAAGGCTCCTGCTGACCAGGTTGCACGCAATGATTTAAAGACATGTGAGCAATCCCCTCAAGGAGACCTAAAGGCTGGCACACCCAGCCCTGCTCCTACTGAAGTGTGGAATGCTTTTTAGCACTCATTAAGACTTGGAAGATAAATCATTCCCATGTGGCTAATTAGGCAGCTGCTCCAGTTTTGTTGGTTGGTTTGTTTTTATTGGCAAGGGAGATGGTAAACGGGAGGATTTTAGTAAGCTCTCAAGACAATGGCATTTCTTTCTGTCGTCTTTGCTCTGAGCCTTTGCCTTTTGTTTCTAGTAAAGACAAGACATTCTGATGTTGCAAATTCAGTGTAAGTAAATGGTGAAACAGAGATTTACGAGTGTCACAACAGTGAAAGGGCCTCCTCCACTCCAACTGATTCCCCCAAACTCCCAGGACGCGCTGCAGAAAGAATGAGGTGCTCTGAAGTCATACCTTGTGTGTGACCTGTGCTTAGCACTGATCTCAAGGTAGGTTTGTGACAGACCTGTTTCCACAGGAGTCTCTGATGTAACAGGTGTGAATGCTGCTGGCCACAGTTAGGGCTAGGGGTCGTCTCAGATACCTTCACCTTCCTTCCTGCATTCATTTGCTCGCCATATCCGTACAGACCCCTGCATCATATTCCCAAATCTTCCTGACAGGAACACCTGGATGTGTGGGATACTCAGTGGCATCTCAAACCAAAGGAGGCACCAGCAGGCATGTTAGCATCTGAGTTGAGTCAAGGATCTCCACTGAATAGAAGCGATACCAGAGTCATGGTCTGAATTACTTTATCACTTGAAAGGTGCATGGCCAAAGGAAGACAGTTCCCACCCCAGGATCTCACCGTCAGAAAAAAATGGTGCCATGCTTGCCCCAAAACCAAGGGCACATTTCAACCCAGATTGCTTTATTCACTTCCCTGATAAAGAGAAGTTCAGCATTTGGTTTCAATTGCCAACATACAGTAGTCCCCACCATTCCATTGCCTCTAAGGAAAAAACAAGTCAGAGAAAGATATTACCTTCTCTTCTCAATTCGGCATGTACTTCCCTAAGGACCTCTTCTCCCTCTGCGTCTTGCCATTGCACATCCTAGGTGAAAGCCAGATGCTTGCAGAGGTACCCCTGGGATGGAGCCCATTCCTTCCCATGGTCTCTTCATCAGTTTGCAGGAGAACCAGATTTGTGCCCTGAAATCCACACCTAGTTGGAGCTGTCAGTGCAGGCAACAGCCCTCCTGAGCACCCTCCCCAGTGCCTCCTTGACCTCTCTGTTCCTCAGACTGTAGATGAGTGGATTGATGAGAGGTGTGAGGACTGTGTAAAAAAAGGGAGACCGTTTTGTTGAGCTGTCTCAATGGGACTGTTCTGGGCAGCATGTAGACAATGATGAGGGTCCGATAGAAAACAACGACCATAGTAAGGTGAGAGTAGCAGGTGGAAAAGGCCTTGTGCCTCCCCATGCTGGACAGGATCCTCAGGATGGCAGCTATGATGCAGACATAGGATGCCAGAGGGAACAGAAATGGGAAAAATACATCGGGAAAGATAATATAATAAGAAGAATTCTGATCATCCCAGTGTCATTGCAGGAGAGCTCTAGCAATGGAGCTTCTTCACAGAAAAAATGGATAATTGCACTGGGGCCACAGAACCTTTGGTGAGATATGAAAGATATGATTCCTGTAGAAATTAGCAGTCCCACAACCCGTGATCCAGCCACCAGTTGGAGACATACCTTCCAGTTCATGAGGCTTGCATAAAGCAGGGGTTGACATATGGCCAGGTACCGATCATAGGACATGGCAGCCAGCAAGTAACACTCAGAAGTGGAAAAAGTGCCAGAGAAGAAAAACTGTGCCATACATCCTTGCACAGAGATGGTCGTGCCTCCAGTGAGGAAGCTGGCTAGCAGCCTGGGCAGGATGGTGGAGCTGTAGCAGGTCTCCAGGCCAGACAGATTAATCAGGAAGAAGTTTCTGCTGTGAGTTATCAACAGCACCTGAATGTACCTGCTCTCCAAAGTCTCCCACTGCTTATCAGGATCAGGAATCAGGATCCTGAAGGGTCCTGCTGCATCTACCTCTCTCCTTGGGGCTACAGGCAGTGAGCTCTGTGTAACTAGTCCCGGGGGAAAGTGAGCTGGTGGAAGGTGTGTCAACAACTCCAGCAAGGGCTACCCTTGCTACCCTCCCCAGACCTCTGTGGTAATTCAGCCT